ATTGATCATGGTTTTCAGTTGTTTTCCTTCTTAGCTCAATGAGAGGGGGTGGGGTATGACAAAGCTTCCCTGGTGGTGGGTAATGGGGAAGGGCTCACTGGGGTGGGTTACCTTACCTGAGACATTAGGGGAGGGGTTTGGAATGCTTCCAGCTGACCTCCTGCCACGATTCTCCCCCCCGCCCCATTCCTAATTTGAAGATCTCTTTTAATGGTTACATGGATTGGGGGATTCTGGATTTGAATCCTGTTTCTGTTTCTGACAAGTTTGGTGACAAACTTTAAAACTATATGTATTTTATACTTTCTCTTTTATTTTTTTTAAGTTTACTTATTTTTGAGAGAGAGAAAGAAAAACAGAATGAGCAGAAGTGGGGCAGAGAAAGGGGCATAGAGGATCCAAAGTGGATTCTGTGCTGACAGCAGAGAGCCTGATGTGGGACTTGAACTCACGAACCATGAGATCATGACCTGAGCTGAAGTAGGAAGCTTAACTGCCTGAGCCACCCAGGCACCCCTATGCTTTCCATATTAAATACTCTCAAAGCTGTGAAGAAGTCTTCCTTTATTGAACACCTGCTATGTTCTTGACAGTGTTCAAACATAAAGGCTAGAGCAGGGAACAGTACACAGGATTGCTGCCCTCTCTGTCCACAGATACCAGGTAGTAACAAAGCCATAAAGAGAGTAAGAGTAGTGAGGCACAAGGCCACTTGTATGCAGATGGGGAGTAGGGAAGGCCTCTCTGAAGTGGCCACATTTGATTGGAGACCAGCCAAAGTGATGGAGGGAGCCATGAGCCATGAGTTGGGGAAGCAGATTTGAAAGAGATGTAAGGGTGAGAAGTGAGCTCATGAGGTGGGGATAAAAGTGAGGCCAACTTGGTGGCAAATGAATGTCCATTCCATGTCCATTCCACAGCCAGGAAATGTGAAGTTTGAGAGTCACAGGGAATGATGTGTTATGACTTTTGTTATAAGATGAATCTTTCCGACTGCTGTATTGAGACTGTACTGTGTGTATGGGCGGTAATGGGGGGCAGGACAGAATCCGTGGCCTGGACTAGGCTGTGAGCAGAAGTGGTGAGAAGTAGTTGGTAGAGGACAGAGTTTCAAGGTTGAGCCCAATAAGATAATAAGATAATGCATTATTAAGTGATCTCCAAGCCAGGCACGAGATGGGTACTTGTAAATGTTATTTCTCTTTTACTTCATCTTGAAGATTGGTCAGGATAGGATGGGCAGATGTACAGGCACATCTGTAATGCCAGCTATTTGTGCATTCTGTAAACATGTACTACACATACATCATGCACTGTGTTTCTAAATAAATAACTTGACTGGCATTTATTGGGCAGCTTATGTGGGCTGGTCGTCATCTTGGTAGAGTTATTAGTTTATTATGGGATAATAAAAAATAATTTTAATGGCAAACACTTAACATTCCTTGTGTTCAGTTAGTATTTTAAGTGCTTCACAACAGACCCATGAAATAGGTATTATTGTTACTCCTGTTTTCCTGATGAGAATGAGCTGAGGCCCAGAAAGGTTAAATGCTTGTCCAAGATCACAAAACTAGCAAGTGGAGGAACTGGGATTTGACCAGGGGTGTTCAGCTCCTAAATCTTGGATTTTCACTGCACCATCCCACTTCTGTAGGTTGCTATGGGATACATGGAATATGATTAAAAGCCCTAAGAAGTAAATGCTGTAGGAATACAGAGAGGAGGGTTTACTTATTCAGTAGAGACCGTGTGAAGGAAATGGCATTTGAGTTAGACTTTAAGTAATGGCAGAGGTTTCAGCTGTGGGAAGATATTGATGATAGGCATGAAAATAATTATAGTGATGGAACTGTATGTCTACTAAGCACTGTTTGAACAGTTAATCTTCACCAGCACTGAGATACCTTTGAGCGTTTGCATATTACGGGTAAGGAAACAAACACACAGACATGTGCCTGTATTTACACTGGTGGGAAGTGGAGGAGGTTGGGTTTGAGTCTGACACTACACCGATGGCAAGGAGTTGGGAGGGGTAGTCCTTAGGGGAGGAAAAGTAATGAGCTTAAGCTCAAGTGTGATGGTGTAGAGTGTATTTCGGAAATGTGAGGAATTTAAAGTTGTAAAATTTCTTTGCATATCCCAGTCATCTTTGGGGTGTGTTACAAGTACAGATTTCTGAGTCTGTTATCAGCCTTCATTGCTGCACAGAAGATCACAGATCAGTTCCTTGGAGAGCCACTGACCATGCACAGCACGCATGCCAGTGTGCCCAAGTGGAGGTCACACTGTGGAGGCCTTTGATCTTCAGTTTTAGGAGTACGCACATTCATCTCTTTTCACCCGATGTGCATATGGGCTAGAAAAAAGAACTGGATCTGAACACCCTTGAGTAGTCAGACAGTTAAAAAGCCTGGTGACTGGGGGATGGAGCCGACAGAGTGTAGCGAGGATGGTAGGGCCTGTGGGAGGGAGCCTCTAACATCTTGAAAAGAAACCAAGTTCATGGTCAGCATGTTGAGTGATAGCAGAGGTTTTGGGTAGAACTTTTGGTGTATTCATCCTTGATTCAGCCACCAGGAAGTGTATGTGTATACTCCAAGGGAAGGCAAGGGCTTTGTGTAGAAGATATTCATACACACATACCACAAAACTAACAAAACGGGCCTCTCAAGCACTTCTTCTATCCCTACTATCCTCTCTTATCCCTTAGACATGTCCTAAGCACTTTGCAGAGTTCTAAGATCCTAGTTATAGATGTATATAAAGAAAGGGAGGATTCGTTGTATTCTAAGAGATTGATAGGAAGCCTTCACAGAGAAGATTAATGCCTGCCTTCCTATTTAGAATTTTAAATCATGCATAGGATTTTGCAGAATGTTCAGATTTACAAGCAGATGGAGCATATGCCAAAGGTATGGGGCTATTAAATAGTTTGTTGCCTTAAGAATGATAATTAACAATAATGAGCTAAAGTGAGCGAAGGATGCTGGTAGAATGTTTGGCATGGTTGAAATTACTGTAGCTAGTACATAGGAACACCTACCCTGCAGTAAATAACAGGCATAGTATCTGGCACATAATTGCTGTTTACATCAATAGTAGCTGCTATTGTTATTATTAGGCTGAGACCAGACTGTGATATGAAATGGTAATAAGCTTAGACTTTATCCTGTTGAGGATTTGGAGGGACATGATAAATTTGGAGTTTTCAGTAGATCACTGATACATGAAGACCAGGCTGAGTGATTTGCTTAGAGATTGTTCTAATCCAGGCAGGAGATTCGAATGTCTGGACCATGGCAAGGGCAGTGAAGACAGAGGAGAGTATTAGTCAGTTCAGGCTGCTGCAACAAAATACCACAGAATATTTGGCTTAACAAAAACAGACGTGTATATTTTCACAGTTCAGGAGATGGGGAAGTCCAAGATCTAGGTGTTACCCAGTTTGGCAATAATTATTTCCATTTGTGATGTGCAAAAAAAAAAAAAAAAATTAGGTAGTGTGTTTATTTCCAAAGTAATCATATAGAGCAAGAGTAGTATATCTGAGAATTAGTTTTGTATAAAGTGTTGAAGTTTAGCATTCTGCTTTTTTATTTTCTCCTGACATTTTGTCATTTTGGGTGTGACAGAGGATACCCTGTTGTCAAAGTCATTTCCTACCTTGTATCTCTTGTCTGTATTTTTCTTTCTCTGCATCTACAGTGCTGCCCGAGGATAATGTGCTTTCCCTTTTTTTGTGTGTATGTGTTTGTCATTGTTTGCTGATATTTTTAAATAGTTGAGGCAATAGCTTTTGGCCTTTTGGCGGATAAGGCATGCAGTGTCTGAGTGGTGTCTCTTGGAGAGTTATTTTGAAATGTGATTTCCCAAGACAGTGCATTAACACTTTTTCAGATAAATTGACCTAGGTTGGGTGAGTCTCATTTTACTAGTTCAGCATATGTTATGCATGTTCTCTACTTTTTTTTCTTTTTGTGGAAACATAATATACAGGAGTGTGCGTATGTCCTACATTTTCACAAACTGAACACGGTCACAGAAACAGTACCTATAGATAAATTGACTTAAAACAATTTAATTATGTTGTTTGGGAGTAAAATGAAACTATGTACATCTGCTATGTATAAAGGAAGATGTGACCTTTAGACTTTTTTTTCTTTCATATTATTTCCTGTTACCTAATGTATTTACAAATTATTCAACCAGTTTTATCTTATATATCAATATTGTACATATAATGCTACTCTATTTTTGAATTGAAAATTATTAACCTGAGGAATATGTCCTAGCTGTGCTTTTTAAGAGTGTCTTTGCAGAAAAGGTATTATAGGGAAGAGTTGTTGTTCATATCTAGTTACTGTTAAGAAAAATTTTCTGAATTTTGGATAGATATGTGTCGTGTGGTCTTTCAGTGCCTTGTGTGGGGGTACTGTTTAACAGGCCCACCCTGGGGGTATATAATTCTTATCTTGTGCTCTACTTTCTGTTTGCTGTTTGGTTAGAGCCCTGAACTGGGAAGTTATCTGTTAGCTTATAGGTTTTTGTCTGGTAGAGAACCCCAGAGATTATGGTTCTATTGTCCTGAGGGCATTAACCAGTTTTTTAAAATCTAACCTACTAATCTTAGTCTAACATTAAAGTTTTTTCTGTCTAAACCTATTGCACAAATGTTTCTGGAAACAGTCTTACCATCTTACTGGTTCCTTAAGGAGTTGAATAAATTATTTGACACATGCTCATTTTATATTTGTGAGAAAGTTATTTTTGAAAATCATCGTTTGATCCCACCATGGCGTTTCTGCCCTGTATCCTCACACTTTCCCTAGAAATGGATTCTCTGGGGCACACAGAGTAATGGCAACGATTCTAAACTCTGAGTGAGCAAAAGTAATTATCCTCGTTTCTATTGTGTGTCCCCAGAGAAAGTTTATCATGTCAAACTAGGTTTTCATAACTAAAATATCCTAATCCATTAATATTCTTTTCTTTTTCAGGCTTAAGCACATAAAGCATTCACTGTGAAGAAAATAACATTTTGAGACATTAACCTGTTCCAAGTGACAGAGGAAAAACCAATACAGAAGTGCACTCTCATGTGTACCTCCTTGTACTGCTGATAACTCAGCTTAGTAATGAAGCCACCATTATGTCCTCAGTCAGTGAAGTAAATATTGATATCAGAGATTTCCTAATGAGCATTAATTTGGAGCAGTATCTCCTACGCTTCCGTGAGTTTGGTTTTGATACTGTGAAGGACTGTGCGGCAGTCGATGACAGCGTGCTGCACAAAATTGGAATATCACCTACAGGACACCGGAGGAGGATACTGAAACAGTTGCAGATAATCTTGTCAAAAATGCAAGATATCCCAATATATGCAAATGTTCATAAAACAAAGAAGGATGATGAGACTTCAAAGGATCACCATGTACCCTCCTCTGATGGGAGTAACTCTGTAGACCTTTCAGATGCAGGTGGTGTTCAGGCACCCAGCCCAACGCAGTGGGAGACTGTTACCAAAACTCTTGATCGAAATGATGTTAGTGTAGAAAATAGCCAGTCTCTTAAATCAGATGATAAGCTGTCTCTTCCTAAACACAACTTTCCCCCTCCAGAAGAAGAACCACACCCGAGTTTGAATTCTTTTCAGCACACTTTATTTGGTAGTGAAAATATTAAAGGAGAATCTTTGATTACAGAGAAAATTATGGATTGTGCAATCGAAGAGCAACAAACAAACAGAGCTGATTTGATCTCAGAAAATATGAGCCAGCTTCCTGATGCAGACTCTGGATGCCTTTCTCCCCTTGGCTGCTCCGTATCAGAGGCAAATTCTGGAAATGGAACTAATGCTTTATTAGAAAGATCACTGCCCTCCCCATTCTTTCAATTTCAAGGAGAGATGGTTGTAAATGATTTGTATGTTCCATCGTCACCAAGTCTAGTGCCCATGAGAAGACGTAGCAAGTTGGTTTCAAGACCATCTAGATCTTTTCTGCTAAGACACCGTCCTGTACCAGAGATTCCAGGGTCTACAAAAGGAATTTCAGGGAGGTAAGAATTTTCATGATGAGCTGTAAGTATTCAGTTTGAGTGAATTTAGTTGCTTTTAATGCATATTTTTAGGATTGGTAAATTTGACTTCTTAATATTAATTTGCCTATTCAGCGAACCTTTTTTTCTTCTAAAATGAGAACATGCCATTTCTCTTGTACACTATTTCCCAGAGTCTGTTTCTAACTTATAATTACCTGGGGCTCTTTAGTTTTCTTCCATTTAAATGGGGGGAAAGTCCCTTCTAATTTTACCTGGCAGTTCCTTCCCATGCCTTCCTTCACACCTGGTATTAAATTCTTCCATGAGGCTGATTCTTATATTTGAATTTCTGACTCTGTCTCCTGGCTGGATTATTTGTCCTTTGGCAGGTGCCACGTTTCTAATGTTTGTATTTCTACTGCTTGACACAACGCGTTGGCATGAATTTGTCATTCAAGATACATCTAGGGAGCACTTGCTGGTCATGGTGCTAGGTGCGGAGGTAGAGAGGAATGGAGGCATTTGAAGTGCAGTGTAGGAAACCGATGTAGAAACATGGTAACCGTACAGTGTGAAATCCGGTTCACTGCAACCGGAATTCTAAAGAGGGGCCCAGCAGCACGTTGGGTTGTTAGTACTTTGAGGTAACTGCCAAGTCTCAGCGCTGACTTAACAGCAGAGAGAACTTTCGTCCCTTTCTGAGGGTTACACCTAAAATAGTTGTGGTTTTCTTCAGGGTTGTGGTGGGATTTTTTTTTTTCCCTTCATTAAAAGCTAACGCTTGTCTCTGCTGGAGTCCTGAGGTTGTTCTACTGTTAACTGCTGTGGTACTAGATGTAATTATGGATTTCCTGCGCAGGCTCTAGGCTGGCATTTCTGCAAGAGCCTCCTTCCCTGCTTGGATCTGCTCTGCCTCTAATGCTGGTGCTCTTGCCTGTGGGCGTCTTTGGTAATTACAGTGCAAGATCCTGGTTGTATTTGCAGGAGAAAATGTGAAAGTTTAGTGTTTGCCAAAGAAAATGTGGCGTTTTACAGGTCTGTTAATTTAAGAACCTTTCATTAGAGCATAAACTTTTTGAGGGCAGAGGCCCTGCTTATTTTGTCATTGTGTCTTGGCATCCCTGGCGCCAAAAGCAAAGTCTAGTTTTTCCTTGGGAATCAGTAGTAATAGTGTCATTTATTAAACATCCTACGTGGCAGTTTGTTTTATAACTTCCTATGGGCTATCTAAATCTCTAATTGGCCCTGTGATGTAGGTATTATTCCTCCATTTCCTTAGGAGGTCACTGAGCCCTGGGTTGATTTTTCCAGGATCACATGAGTGGCAAACGGGTTTCATTCTAGTACATAAGGCTCCAGAACCCACCCGCTTTCTTAACCGCTCATTTAGGAAATATTCTTAAAAACGTTCATTGCAAATAGGACTGAGTATTACTCAGGAATGTAGAAGATTACCAACTTTTGTATGACACTTTAGTTTTAAAATATTTTGCTAATTTTAAACAAAGTAACTAAAGCGGTTTGCCATGAGTACACACATTAAAATTGTGTCTTTGGCAGAACAGAATCCTTTGGGGAGTCGTAAAGATAACTTCAGAAAAGAAACATTTGGCTTAAGTTTTAAACAAAATGTGCTATTTTTCATAAATTCTTGAGAAACTTGATGTTTTTTCACTTGGAAATATAAGCTTTATATCATTTGAAAGACTTGTAATTCACATTGTTTGTGAGTCTTTGAAAATGAGAATTGAAATAATGTTAAAATTAGTAAAAAACTTAGTCCCATAGCTGCATCATAGCCCTGCCAGGTTACCCCTCATAACCGTTCTTCTTTGATTATGGCGATAAATGGTGACTGTGCGTCTGCGGGGCTCAAATCCTACAGTGAGAAAATAAATTATTTTCAGACTTCACTTGTATTTTTCCTTGTGGCCCTGGCCTGAATTGCAAATAGCAATTTTGCAGGATTTTAAAATGTCATAACATGAGTTTAAAAATAAAACTGTGGATTATATAACCTGAGATTCTCTGTAATCAGATTACATCTAAATGATATCTTTAGTACATTTCTGGATGTACCAAATAAAACTATTTCTTTGTGGCCAGTGCGTTTAACATAATTTCTTTACTAAGCATTTCATGTATCTGTTAAAAGGTATATGATGTTGGATGGGTTTTCTTGGTGTGAAGCCTTCTGTTTCTCCCTGGATATCATTTCCTCCCCCACTGCCTCTTCCTTCCGTATTTATCTGACAAAATGGACTCTTTGGTCAAATGGATTATCTTTGTCCTTGAATTTGTTTTTCCTGAATTCCTTCCTGTGCCTTTTCTTGGAAGGGCTGGGCTGGGTGGGGCTATGGACAAATGAACCTCAGGCTCTCTTTTTAACCTCTCTCTTGAGGGCCAGGTCAGAACTAGGCTTGAAGAGCTAGCTCTTCCCTTATCAGTTTCACTTGGAGGTCTCCTATGGAGGCCTGCAAGCAAAAATGAGGTCTAGCATCTTGCCATTTCCCTGGGAGTCCTAGGTGTGTCCTGTAATTCTTTTGGGAGGATCCACCTCAGTGCTGAAGACAGGAAAGAACAAGACCTTTCAGCTACTAAAGAGGTACATTTCTTACCCTCCTTCCCTAAAGAACTATTTTATCTTTGGCACAAGTCACAATATCCTTCTCTTTTAGGTATTGTGCTTCTAAATGTTTTTAGGGAAGGGGAAATAAGGAAGCAGAGATGGGGTGCAGGAAGATGAAAGGTGGGGCCTCATGTGATTGGAGGACATCTGTTATAATTTATTGTTAAGACAGGTATACCATATTGACTGAAGGCTCAAGTCTGAAATCTAAACCTGAAGTCTCCAGTTGTCTTGGTACTTTTTATTAAAAATAGCAATCTTCAGTATTTTTCTCTAGATATACGTAGACACGATATAGACATTAGAAATGGATAGCCCTATAATAGACTTTAATGTTGAAAGATATTTAAGCAGAAAATGTACAGAAAAGTAAGCAGTGGTTGCGTGCATTGAATACAAAAAATATAGAAAGTCATCCTGTCTTTTTCGTGTTCAAGTAAAACTTGACATTTCATGTTATAGCAGAAAAATGCTTAGCAATCCAAAATTCCTTATATGTCTTTAAAATGTCTTATAAATTCTATGAAAAAATAGGCTGATTTTTTTCAATATTTGCAAAATTTGGATTTAATCTAAATTTTGACATATCAAAATTTAAGTAGTTAATAGTTTGATTTATTCTTAGAGAATAATGATACGTATCTGCTCCATATTTTTTATAAGTAAAATGACATTAGGTTTATACTTTTTATTTCATAATATAAAAAGTACCACTTTGTGTGGAAAAAAATGTGTTCTTAAATTCCAGTTATTTAACATACAGTATAATATTAGTTTCAGGTGTAGAATATAGTGATTCAGTAATTCCATACAAAACCCGGTGGTCATCACAACAAGTGCACTTCTTAATCCCCATCACGTATTTTACCCATCCCTCCACCCACCTCCTTTCTGGTAACCCTCAGTGTGTTCTCTGTAGTTAAGAGTTTGTTTCTTGGTTTAAGTCCTCCTCTCTTTTTTCCCCCTCTTTGCTTATTTGTTTTGTTTTCTTCAATTCCACATATGAGTGAAATAATATGGTATTTGTCTTTCTCTGACTTATTTTGTTCAGTATCATACTGTATGGTTCCATCCACATCATTGCAAATAGCAAGATTTCATTCTTTTTGATGATTGAGTAATGTTCCATTTTATACATAAATACCACATCTTCTTTATCCATTCATCAGTTGCTGGACACTTGGGCTGTTTCCATAATTTGGCTATTGTAGATAATGCTGCAGTAAACATCAGGGTACATTTATCCTTCTGAATTCATATTTTTGTATTCTTTGGGTAAATACCTAGTAGTGCAATTGATGGATCAGAAGGTAGTTCTATTTTTAACATTTTTATTTTTAATGTTCTGAGGAACCTCCCTACTGTTTTCCAGAGTGGCTACACAAGTTTGCATTCCCAGCAACAGAGCAAGAGTGTTCCCCTTTCTCTACATCCTCACCAATACCTACTGTTTCTTTGTTGATTTTAGCCATTCTGATGGGTATGAGGTGGTATCTTTTTGTAGTTTTTATTTGTATTTCCCTGATGATCAGTGATGTTGAGCATCTTTTCATGTGTCTCTTGGCCATCTAGATGTCTTTTTGGAAATTTGTCTATTCATGACTTCTGCCCCTGAAAAAGTACATTTTGAGCTGCAACTTTTGCTAGTTATTTAAAAAACTGTTTGAGGATCGTGATGTAGCCTTTTGTGTTGTAATCCTTCTGTAATTACCATTTATTCTTTTCCTAAGGACAGTTTTTTGGAACATCTTAGATTGAGACTTAAATATCTGTGCATTGTAAATTTCACATTCATAGTCTGTGCTGTAGTTAATAGACTGTCATATTTTCTGAAGTCAGATTTGTGTGTTTAGTTAGGTATATGTAACCTCTGGGCAGTTTTAAACTACTGCCTAATGATCATGTTTTTCTTTTGAATTCAGTTCTGTAGTGACCTGTAGTTAGTCCGTTGTAGTTAGTTTGTTATGAATTGCAAGAATTGCACTTTTTAAAAAACATTTTGTGAAATGATGGTCCATTTATGGTGTATAATTTTTTGGTGTGACTGCCTTGTCTAAGTAGTAGGTAAGTGTAGATCATAAAGGGAGATCTTTAACATTAATTAACCTTTATAGCACTGCTTTTCTTGGTTATTTTAGTGGTTTAAAATATATGAAAAAATAACATCTGTAGAATGCTGAAGGTTCATTTTGGTAATTGGAGGCTTTTTTTTTTTTTTTTTTTTTTTTTTTTTTTTTTTTTTTTTTTTTTTTTTTTTTTTTTTTTTTTATAGCTTTGCTTTTCTTGGTTATTTTAGTGGTTTAAAATATATGAAAAAATAACATCTGTAGAATGCTGAAGGTTCATTTTGGTAATTGGAGTTTTTTTTTTTTTTTTTTTTTTTGCAACTTGGTGTTTTACTTAACTTTATATTTGAGATTTACCCACATTGATGCACATATTTTATGTAATAATTGCTGTGTATCATTTTATTTAAAAAATACAGTTATTCCTTTACTAGGTTGTTGACATGTTTTCTCTGTCACAAAGAAGAATGTGAATACTTATAAGGACTTTAAGAAACAAATGTGCACATGAAGTTTATCAGAAGGACCATTTTCTCCTCTAATAAAAATTATAATTGGCTCATTCTTGCTAAGTGTTTATATTGTGAAGGGCATACCTTATGCTTTTCAAAAGCTTTTCCTCATTAATCCTCATAACATTCTCAGGAAGCAGGCCTGGGAATTTTTCCCCTTCAGTAAATGAGGCAACCAGGCTCAGGACTGTTCCGTAACTTGACCAAAGTCACGAAAGCCTAATTAATGAGAAGGTGATAGCTACTGCTTTTCATTATGGATTTTTAATTTGTATAAATCAGCCATACTTTATGTTTCAAATTTAAGTTTTTAGGATAACTGGTGAGAAGATAATAGGGCAGAAAAGAGGCAGAAATGAGGAAAGAATGGGGGCTTTGTCTCTTGGTAGCTGTGGACTTGGATTGGGAGAGCCTTCTTTCTTTATTGGCAAGATTAGGACAACTGGTCCTCTGTCATAGGCTATTATGAGGATGAAATATGAGATGCAGATATATACATTCCTAACAATGTTTTCAGCATAATAGATATTAGAATATAAAATGCCTTGTGATAACTTATTCATAGATAAATGAGAATATAAATTACTGATGGCTAGTTTTCAAAACAACTCTGTTTCCTGTGTTAAGCTAATCTTTCATCAACAGTGGATCCAATGAAGTTGGTTGATAGGTTCAGTAATTTCTTGGAGGTGGATCCTGAGTATCAGAATCAATTAAAATCACAAACATTTTTCTTTACATTTCATATGACTAATAGTAAAACCAGCAAAATCTGCTTTAAAAAACCACTAACAGGGGCGCCTGGGTGGCTTAGTCAGTTGGGCGTCCGACTTTTGCTTAGGTCATGGTCTCGCGGTGGTGGGTTCGAGCCCCGCGTCGGGCTCTGTGCTGACTGCCAGCTCAGAGCCTGGAGCTTATTTCGGAGTCCGTGTCTCCCTCTCTCTCTGACCCTCCCCTCTTCACCCTGTCTCTCTCTCTCTCTCTTAGAAAAAAAAAAAAAAAAAAAAAACCGCTAACATACTTAACATCCTTCTAATTCTTTTTAAAATGTTTACAGTATATTTATAATGTATGTTAACTTATATTAATTTTATTAAGTACATACATATTAAATACATATGTAATTTTCTTTTCTGGTTTTGAATTTTTTAAAGAAATCTTTGCGTACTCCAAGGTTGCAAAGATTTTCTTATATTTCCAGAAGTTTTAGAGCATCAGCATTAACATGTAGGTCTAAACTCCATTTCAAGTTAACTTTTGTATATGGTATGAGGTAATGGTTGGGATTCACTCCTTTTTTCATTTAGATATCCAGTTATCCCAGCAACACTTGTTGAAAAGACTATCCTTTACCCATTAAATTGCCTTGACATTTTTTCAAAAATCAGTGTACCGTACATGTTTGGGAGTTATGTGGAATTTTTATTTTATTCCATTTATTGATGTGTTTATCCTTTCACCAGTTATACACCGATTTGATTGCTATAGGTTTAAGACTAAGTATTGAAACTGTGTAGTATAAATCTACCAACTTGTTCTTCTTTTCGATATTTGACCATTCTACGTTATTTATATGTGCATGTCCGTTCTAGAGTTATCTTGTCAATTTCTATATAAAAACCTCTTTGGGATTTTGTTTGGAATTATGTTGACCCTGTATATCAATAAGAGTATCTTAACTATATTGAGTTCTCTAGTCCACTAACATGTATATCTATTTTGTTCTTTTTAAATTTTTCAGTGTTATATGGTTTTCAGTGGCAAATTTACTCCTTAGTATTTCATGTTGTTGATACTATAATAAAATTTATATTTCAAACTATTTTTCCAGTTGCTCAATGCTAACATTTAGAAATACTATTGAATTTGTTAATATTTTCTCCTTATCCTGGGCCCTTGCTAGACTTGCTTACTAGTTTGAGAATCTTTCTGGTGGATTCCTTAGGATTTTTTTACTTAATAGATACCTTCTGCTTGTAAGAGAACTTTTTTTCCAATCTGCATACCCTTTATTTCTTCTACTTATCATATTGTCCTGACTGGGACCTCTGAAATAATATGACTCTAAGTAGTGAGAGCAGACCTCCTTGTCTTACTCTCAGTCTTAAAGAAAACCATTCAGCATTCAGCATTGTTTATGATGTAGGTTTTTCATAAATGCTTTTTGTTAGGTTGAGGAAGTTTTCTTCTGTTCCTAGTTTACTGAGAGTCTTTGTCATTAATAGATGTTGGATTTTGTCAGTTGGTTTTTCTGGATCTATTGTCATGAGACTGATTTTTATCTCTTTTATTTTCTTAATTTGGTGAATGACATTGATTTTTTTTCCATGTTAAAACAACTTTGCTTTCCTGGAGTAAATCTTACCTGGTTATTTTTTATTTATTTATTTTTTTATGAGTTGTTGGATTTGTTTTGCTAATATATTGCTAATGAGTTTTGCATCTAAATTGATGAGGACTGTTTAATAGTTATCTAGTTTTGTTTTTGACTGGTTTTGTATCTGTAATACTGACCTTATACAATGAATTGGAAAATAGTCTTTCTTTCTCTGTTTTCTGAAAAAGTTCACATGGAGTTGGTATTATTTCTTTCTGAAATGCTTGGTGGAATTCACCAGTGACATGTCTTGGCCTAGATTGTTTTGTGGGTAGGTGACTAACTACTAAATTAAATTTCTCTAATAGATTTAGGGATATTAAGATTTTTCTGTTCTGTATCATATTTGGTAACAACTTATGTCTCAAAGAATATTTTCATTTAAAATAAGTTTTTGGATTTATCAAAATAAAGTTTTTCTCAATAATCTATAATTATCCCTTTCATGTTTGTACAATTTGTAGTAATGTCTTCTCTTTCATGCTGATATTGGTAGTTTGTCTCTTTTGTCTTTTATTTTCCTTCCCTAAGGTTTATCAGTTTGATTGATCATTTTGAAACCAGCTTTAGTTAAAATTATTTTAAGCATTATCTATATTTTATTTCATTGGTTTCTATTCTTAATTTTTTATATCCTTGTTGTCATTTGGGCAGATATAAATTTAAAAGATGTTGAAGACCTAGAACTCATTCATATAGTAATGGATATTCATTACATCTGTTTCTACAGTTTCTTCCATCATTGCTATTAGGCTGTATTCTAATTAGTTACCTGTAATCTTTCTCTCCCAAGGCAGCAGTTTTTTAAGGAAAGGTCTTATATATTTTCATACTATGCTTATAGAGCTGACAAATTTTTGATTCAATTTTGTAAGGCTTAATGGCAAAATAACCTACATAAATACTGAAATCTAGTTAGAAAATTAGTGTCGACAGTGGAATGCCTAGCAGTTTTGAAGTTCGAATGTACATACTAGAATTGGGCAAATATTCATTTACTTTTGTGAAGTATAAATATGAGAGGCAAATGTTTATAAAATCTAGTGAAATCTCTTTAAGGCTATTTAGAAAAACACATCTGTGGAATTTTAGCCATTCTGTTTAATTAGAATCAAGTTTATTTTTGAATATTGGTTTTTCTAGTCAGAAGAATGTATGTCTCTGTATCCTTTACTCAATATTGTAACTTACCAATTTTTATCTGTTTTAATTTTTCCCCCCCTTTGCTTTAAGCTATTTCCGTGAGAGAAGAAATGTTGCTACCTCAACTGGAAAGTCTGTGACACAGGAAAGTGAGTCTCAGTGTGTAAAGTTTTTGTAAAGTAGCACTCATTTGACAGTCTTAAATGTGTGAAAATCGTGATCGAGAAAGTAGGCCCTCTGTGTAAGAGGGAATAATGGGAATAATTATCTGCTAGGGTTCATAATACCTCAGATGCTTTTAACGATGAATGAATAAAAGACAATTATATGTACTCAGACTCCTGGAAATCTTCAGATACTAATGCAAAAACATCCCCCCACCCCCACCCCGACTTCATTTATCGTTAGCCATAGTTGAGGGTATATTACTAAATTAAGTGGTTTCTGACAGTCTAAGCTACAGGACGTAGATTTATGGAAAGTAATTTTGCCATGGTAACGGGATAGGGCTGACATTATTTTGATAAATTGATCATTGACAGAGGCTTTTCTTTCTTTCTGAAAATTCTGCTTCTATAAGTTCAGGAGCATTCTTCTTAACAGTAAGGTGGCAAACACTTGGTTACTGACCCTTTAAAGGTTTTTTGTCATAGCAGAGAATGCAAGCGTTATGAATTCTTTCTTGTGGATGGGTGTAATACAAGGACAGTGGAAATTCTCTTGAAATAACTTATTTACAGGTGTGTTAGTGGCTGTGATGTTAGAGTATATTAAGCAGATTCTGGTGTTTTGAGTAATAGAGAATCAAGTTGCCGTGTTAGTGAACTTTTAATTATTATTCATTGGAAATTATAATCTAATGCTAATATTATGCCATTTATACTGTTATTTAGGAATTAATATTGTAAGTGGGATTGTGACTATTTGCATCATATGTGGAAAATGTTTTCAATTATATTAGTGTGGATATTAGAGGTTAGCAAGGCATATATGACACCTCACATTTTCAGAAACAGTAATATGCCTTGTTTGTGAAGTGAGAGGATATACAATGAGTGCTCTATCAAGAAGACCATAGGAAGAGTTGCTTTGGAGGTGAAAATTTTAAGCATAATTTTGGACTCTCAGGGAATAATAAAGCTTAAGTTGTGATCTTACTCTAAAATAAATGCATGCCTTTTTAAAAAATATTCACATTATTTATATCTTTTCATTGTCGTCTTATAATTTCCCCAAAAGATTCAAATGAGGAAAATTCAACTTCCATTTTTCCTTATGGAGAGACCTTTCTCCTCCAGAGACTAGAAAATTCCAAGGTTAGTCCCATACATTTTCATTTTTTTTTTTTTCCATAATCAAGTCTTTGCTTTTTTGCCTATATTTGCCTCTTCATTTTCCTTTAAGGTGTTTGAAGAATGGGTTATATTGAAGCAGGACATTTCCAGTCAGTAAAAGTCTGTTAAGTAAAATCATGGTGAATGTGTATCTTTAAATATAGATCACAGAAACACATTCAATTTCAGGAATACAGGAGGGAGGTTTTCAGAATTTTCCAAAAGATAAGCTTAAAGATAAACCCCCAAAGAAGGCAAAAGCAGACAAAGAGAAACCCCTTAGATTTTGCTTTTTGCCTTATACCCAAATATCTACTTCTAACATATCTTCATTATTTAGTTTATCACGTAGTCTTTCTTTCTTTTCAAGCACTTGTGCTCTTTTGGTTATTTTATTTCTTGGTCAGGATAAAAGAGAAGTTGGAAGACAAAAAGTGGGAAAGTAAAAGTAAATAGATTTTGTTCTTGGATGGCATCTTCTGTTTTTCTTGGATGAAATGATGAATTACTAATGATTTAAATATAATCTTTAAAAAGACATCATGAGGCAATTTTTAGTATAGTCTCCCTAATTATATTATATATTATATATATGTATATATATATATTTTATTTTAATAGAAGAGATCTATCAAGAATGAATTTTGGACCCATGAAGAAACATTGAAAGGGGAATCAACGACTGAAAAAAACTGTTTTCTTGTGAAGTCAAGGTATGAAGTCATTATTGATGATGATTAATTCTTTTGAATATAATGTTATGCAGTGTTGACTTCTTGCTCATATTTTTATAAGAAAATAGTTTATACTGGTAAGTTCAAATCTTTTCTTTCTTGATGTTTCAGTAATGACACTTATTTTATTTAAAAAAAATTTTTTAGAGTATTTATTTAGAGAGAGCACAAGCAGGGTAGGGGCAGAGAGAAGGAGAGACAGAATCCCAACCAGGCTCCATGCCATCAGTGCAGAGCCCAGTATGGGGCTCAATCTCATGAACGTGAGATAATGACCTGAGCTGAGATCAAGAGTTGGACGTTTAACCAACTGCACCATCCAGGCGCCCTGAGTAATGGCCCTTATTTTAATAATTGAACTTAGAGTCTGTAAATCGGGTAGGTAGTGGTGTTTTGCAGCAGATTATGTTGTCTTTTCCAAATTGAAACCACTCTTCCCTTCGTCCCAAAGTGGAAAATAGGTGGTACCCACAATTGTGCATTAAAAATGAGCAATTATGTTAATATGAAAGAGAGGCAGCGCCAAAAAAATTACTATCTGAGGTGCAGAATTTTTACAAATGTAATATATCCTTTTTTATTGGAAGTTCAGCATTGACAAGTGGCTTGACGGTTACCCAGTTATTTGGATCACCCGTGAAATTAAGCAGTTTGTGAGGCACCAACTGAAATTTTAGTTTTTTCAGCTTTATTAGGACTTGGTGCACTGCATCATTACCTAATGTTCATTTTATATCTTCAATTTTATTCTTTCCTCTCCAAATCTGATATTGTTGGGGGTTTTCTTATGTTGAAACTAAATAATTAAGGATCTTCAGTTAGCATTGGATATGACTGTATTATAATGCAAAATGTGGAAGGGGCCAGGTTAAATCATTCTTTAAGGAAGTAATAGTTTTAGAACACTCTGTCCAAAAGGATGTAATTTGACTCCTACACGTTTCTATTTCATTGATTAGTAAAAACTTATTTGTAATGTGTTTTATTCTACATAAATAGCTGAGTGAATCAATTTTGTCATTTCTTAAATCTATAAAAATATGCTTAGCTATTATGAATATGTTCTGGTGAATATTATAGGTTACATAGCTTTTACCTTCTGATTGTATCTTGACTCTCATTTTCTAGCTAACGGTGTGGTGGTTTTTCCTCATTAGTATTGCAAAATAATACTGAAGCTCTTGGAATTGAATTATGGAGAGCCAGAGAGGGGCAACAAATTTGGAAGTAAGATCTCCAAATAGATGAGTTAGTGGTTCACGATGTTACTAGGGACTGGAGGTTGAGCTGGCTACTTAATGGTGTTGGTGAAAATGATAAATTGTGCTGCAGGGAATGTGGTCCATCTCTACCCTTACCACCATTCTGCACCCCCCACCCCCAAATAAACCGATCAGATTAATGACACATAAGAAAAACTGTACTATTTCTAGTAGTGTTTAAATGTGTCTTAGGATAATAAGAGGTTTCTGTTTTTCTGGAAGAGTTTTATAAATTATCAGATGGGTTAATTGAGCTCTTAAGAGTTTTCTGACCTTAAGTTTCTGTGCAATTTGTTGTTTATAAAGTTCAAAAGTAACCACTGGCTTAAATGGTATATGTTACTTTGAAATGTTAACACCATTTATTTCCATTTAGCATATATGATAACAGGAAGGAGAATATACGTGAAGACAAAGTGGAAGATATTTGGATACCTCGAGAGGACAAAATTAATTTTCCAGTAGACTCTGCTTCAGAATCAGAATATTCAACAGTAGAAGAATGCTTTCAGAGTTTAAGAAGAAAAAATTCAAAGGCATCTAAATCTAGGACTCAAAAAGCATTGAATTTGGACCCTGTTAATAGGCACAGTTATCCGTTAAGCTCAACAAGTGGAAATACTGAGTCCTCGATCATTTCCTCAAGTGCAATATCTCCCTATGCCTGTTTTTATGGGTCCTCAGCAAGGAAGGTTAAATCTGGATGGCTAGACAAACTCTCACCTCAAGGGTATGTAGTTTTTCATTTTTTTTCATAAGTAGCATATTTTTAACAGTTCAAGTTTATCCATATCTAAACCTGCTAGGTTGTTGCTACTCTACACCCCTTCCCCCCACCTCTATGCACACAGATAAAGTTTTTAGGAGTTCTGAATATACTTTTGCAAATGCTGTTCTTTAGACATAAGGAGGAACATGTGCAGTGCATGATGTGGAATGCTGGGTTAAGATTCTGAATAGCAAATTGAAACCGAAAGTTGCAATTTCACGTCTAGATCCTTAATGTTAGTTTCTAACTTTACACTAAAATGCACTGTGTCCTAATTTGTAGCAAAGAAAAACAATACAGATTGAGTTGGTATTACTAGGCCCACACTGTTTGGCTTTTGCTCATATTATAACAGGGTTCTGTTTGGGAGTACAAGTCTTAATTGTAGTTAGAGAAAGTACATCATTGTTAGATTTCAGGCTTCACTGTTATTAATACGTTGTTTTGATTTTTGTATGCTGCATAGAAGGTCAGAGTCCCTTGAATATTATACTTTTAAAATAGATTTATCATTTCAGACGTTTACAAAGAAACTTCTGTCACTTAGGGTTATACAGTATTGAGAAATATTTGGGGAGGTATGGTGTTTAATTAGAATTGTTTTCTGGCATCCTGATTTTTGAATGTCCTTTAGAAGTATTTACTTGAAATATTCCTCATGAATTATTAAATTATTTTGGGATTAAATCTCTCATGTTTAAGTAGTGAATGTGGTGAGTCCTTGCAATATGCTGATTTTCTTTACTATTCCCCCCCAAAAGAGCATTATTTCTAGAAAGCCTTGGACCTGAAATAAATTTTATTAGCAAAAAGTTACCAGAAGCATTAGTTGACTAGTGGGAGCAAGTATTACATTTCTTAAGAAAGTGAAAGAAGAAAAAAGCCCAACACTTTTATGGTTAATCATTATATGGTTAACACTTCATATCATTGCATCCTTTTAGCAAATTAGATGAATGAACTGAAGCAGAGTACTTCTTAGTATCAGTTATCCTGTCTCCTTTCTGGTTATTTAAGGTAACAAAGTAGTCAACATTGCCTACTTTTCATAAGTCATCAGTATTCTTGATAGTCTAATAGCAAAGGTATGAGTAAGCATTAAAAAGTACACACTGGTGGAATGAACCAGTGAGCTTGAATATTCTCGAATCTTTCACTTTTGTAAAATTAAGGTGTTTAGGGAGATCCCAGTGCTCTTTCTAAATATCACCAGGAGAGTTCGCAGACTCTGGGTACAGAGCCTCCAGCAGCTGTGGTTTCCTTTTCCTGCCTGCTCTCGGGTGGTACCTTGTTCTCTGCAGGGTTGGTATGTTTATGCTGCAGGCACACTGAGAAAGCTTCCCCATTATTGTCTACCTCTGGAACAGTTAGAACATTTTTCCTCTCTCTCTATCAGTACTCAGGCTTTCCATCCTTTCTATTCAGAATCTGCCTAAGGTTAGATGCTGTAAGTTGTCTAGATTTATGTTTTTCCATTTTAGGGGAAATAATTGAGTTTTCTGGCTTACCAGTTTTTCTCCTGGTTCCCAGGATGAATGGAGATCAGAAATTAAACAAAGAACTTGCAATATCACCAAGAGATTAAACTCTTCTATATGATTTTATTGCTATGACTTGAAAAGAAGTATGTGTTACTGGCTAAGAAGCACGTATTATTTATTAGATCAGAAGTAGAATCTTAATTTCTCCTTTTCTTAATTGGATTCTGTATGCTATTGTGAGGGTGTTTAAAATGCTCATTAATTAGACAAAGTGATGCCTGCCTTCCTTATGCAGAGGTTATGAGCTTTATTTAACTCATGGTCACATGTCCGTTTGGAGCAGGTAGCACTGCTGTAGATGGCATTCTGAATTCTAGAGAGAAGGGATCAACAAACCTTTTCCATAAACGGTCAAATAATAAATATTTTAATCTTTTTGGCCTCTGTGGGATCTCTGGGAGAAATCAGCAGTTCAGCAGTTTTAGCATGAAAGCAGCCACAGAGAATATACAAACCAGTGATTGAGGCTGTGTTTCAATAAGACTTTATTTATAAACACATAATGGGCCAGATCTGACCTGTGGGCCGTAGAGGCATAAAACAGGTTAGATAGTTGGCTAAAATCTTCTACTGGCTTCTTCTATCTCTCCTGGGCCCCAAAAAGAAAATTATAATCTGATAGATCACAAAATAGGGAAGATACTTTCTTTTATTCTAATCAGTATAGAAGTCATAACAAGCAGGAATTCTCTTTGGGGACCTTGGCCCTTATTGTTCTTTGTGGCTGGAATGTTCTTTTCCACAGAGCATCGTGGCTTGTGTGCCCTACCTTTCTCAAGTTCTTGCTGTAATATCTCCTTTGCATTGAGGTCCTGAAGAGTAGATTTAAAATTATCATTACACCTCTTCCCCAACACCCCATCACTCCCTTAATTACTTTATTTTTCTCTTTGGGGCCCATATGGTTGATCATTTATTTTATGTATACTCCATGGGGACAGTCCTCTATGTTGTTTACTGTGACATCCTTAGCAGCTACAATGTAGCCTGGCATGTGGCAGATGCTCTTAGTATTGGTTGTTGAATGAAATCAGTGAAAAAAACAAACATTAGACATTTTTTCTTTACATTTTTTAGAAAAGGCAGTTTTTTTTTTTAAGTATAAGGGTTTTGTAATAAAAATTGAACTCTGAGCACTGTATTGGTTGAAAATCTACAGGTGCATTGGTGGTACTGGTATACATGAACAGAGCTGTAGGCTCTCATTGTTCTTTTTGTCATTCTGTTTTCCTCTTAAAAACATTTACATGTATCTTCAGAACACGGTTTAAAAAACAAATAGCCACACTCAGTTATCCTTCTCCAAACAGTGTTTGAAACTGCTCTCAGTCATGAGGGGCATTAAACAAAATAACCAAATTTATAATCTGGATTTATTTCACATGATTAAGTATCTGGGTTTTTTTTTTTTTGCAATGGAAATGCCCTTTCTGCATCAGTGCACAGTATGTGAAAACTTCCCAGTATTTGGGAAGAAAGTATATACTATCATACAGGTAAAGAAACACTGAAACATTCACAGCTGAGCTTAAAATATGAACATTCACTTTCTTTGATCTGATTATGATATAGTCTGATACTATCAATTTCAAAAATTGTATGGGGAAAAAAACCCTTAAAATGTAGAACATAGGTCTAGGTCTGTCTTTCAAGCAGGTCAAGCAGATGAAAAAATAAATGGTGCTTGTTTTTTAAAAAAACTCAGAGTTTTGAGGATAAAAAAGTCTTTCTCAGTCCCCTTTCCTAACTAATAAGCTCAAGCTCTTTTTTAAAACATTTTTTAAATTAAAAAAATTTTAATGTTATTTTTGAGAGACAGAGGCAGAGCATGAACAGGGGAGGGGCTGAGAGAGAGGGAGACACAGAATCTGAAGCAGGCTCCAGGCTCTGAGCTGTCTGCACGGGGCCAGATATGGGGCTAGAACTCCCAAGCTGTGAGATCATAACCTGTGAGATCATGACCTGAGCCTAAGTCAGACACTTAACCGGACTGAGCCACCCAGGTGCCCCATATTAAGTGCAAGCTCTTCACTCAGTTTGAGTGGATGCAGATATGGAAGACTGGATACAGTGTATTGCAGCATTTCCCAAGTATGTGACCAAAGGAGGAATTCTGCAAGTTGCTGTAAGGAAAAGACAACATGGTGAATGTGCTGCACCCTTGATAGGAGGTGCACATAGTGAAATATCTAGGCATTATGTGCAACAATGAAACCTTTTTGACATTCTCAACTTGCTGTTTTGTAAAGATATTTGTATGAGTATAATGCACCAACATTTTTATAAAAATTGCAATGCATCTTGAATTCATATTTTACTAGAAAGTATGTTTTATGACTTTCTTACTCAGCTAAATTCCTCTTTTAAAAAATATTAACTTTTTAACCATGAAGAGGCATTGTGTGGGAATCTGAGCCTAGGAGGGCAGAAGCAGAACATGTGAGGCTAACTCAGCAGTTCAAATATAGAATATCCTTAATAATTTATGAGGAACGCAGGGGTACTTGGTGGCTTAGTTGATTGAGTGCCGACTCTTGGTTTCAGCTCAAGAGATGATCTCACAGTTTGTGGGTTTGAGCCCCATGTCTGGGCTCTGCATTGACAGTGGGGAGCCTGCTTGGGATTCCCTTTCTGCCTCTCTCCCCCTGCTTAGGTTTTCTCTCTCTCCCTCCCTCCCCCACCAGTAAATAAATAGATAAATTAATTAGTTAAAAAATAATTTGTGGAGGAATACAAAAACACCCAAGATGTATCTGTTCCTTGTCTTCCTTGTGTCTTTCATTTAGGGCAGAAAAAAGGAAGCAAATAAAAATAAAACCAAAATGGAGTTGAGAAAACATTTCTTCAGAGATCTTCTAGGAATGAGAAGTAGCAGTTCACTTAGGCTTTGGAAAGTAGATAAGATTTTAACTAGCATTTTTAGAAGAAATACTTTCTCACTAGAGGGAATGAAAAGGCACCGACGTAGATGGTATCTGGGGGTACTGAAGCCTCTGGGATGGATAGCCAGGGTTAGCTGGATTATTTTATGGAAGACACGAGGTTGGCCTCTAGAACCAGGACGTAGAGACTGCCAGTGGATTGCACGTCCAGGTTGAACAGAGAGCTGAGGAAAATGAAAAAGCCAATGGTCCAAGACCAAGAAAAGATCAAATACCAGACAGTAGTTGGGATCTCCCAGAAGCCAGTAGTCCAGGACTTGGTGGGAGATCTGAGCTTATTAATTGTTGCCTTTGTCAGTGACCGATTTCCCAGCGTGTGGCCAGTGTATCCAAGTCTACTTGAGTGGAGCGATTCTTCACGCTGGTACACAAGTGTGGGTGTGCCTCACATCTCCTGGGAATGCTGACCTCTGGTTGGCCTTTCAGTGAAAAGCAAATGTAGTATAAAGTTGAGAAGTCTTTTATCCAACCAGGGTGT